AGGCCCACACATGGCCTGCCTTGCCCAGGAGGAGACCAATAGCCCTTTACTGATTCCGTTTGCTGAGCTTTCCTTCCTAGTGGCTGCCTTCGATACGGAATACATGGTGCCTGCAGACCAATAGCTGTCACTCTGACTTTCACAACATAGGCCCACACCTGGCCTACCTTGCCCAGGATAAGACCCATAGCCCCTTCACTGCTGACATTCGCTGAGCTTTCCGCCGCAGCGGCTGCCCTCTTCCTCACCGATATGTGACGAGTCTGCCGCCACACCAAGAACACTCACCCCAATCTTTCCCAACAGCAACCACACATGTTGTGTTCTTAATCCACCGCCGATCTCGCTAGAGCCATCACTTCATATCCCAAACCAAGAGCTGCAACATCCACTCTTACATCCTTTGTGTCAGTCGCAGACATGCAATCCTCCCCCAAAACGCTGCCTCCACACTCCCACACACATCTGCTACGCCCTACTATCTATCTGGCCACCTGGAGGCTGAATAGCGTCTGCATAAAGAAAACATTAGTTCCTGTCAACCCCAACTGCTGGCTGCTGCAGTACGATACTGCGCATTTTACAAGCTGGTCACAGCAAGCAAAGACATCAGGCGCGTCAGCAATTCCACCGGCCAACGGCCCAACGATGCCTATAAAGCTCTGCACTCAGGTTGTTGTTTAAGCTGCTATGAGGCCATTTTAATCACTGACTGGGAAGAGAGAGAGAGAGAAAAAAGAGCTGCTACTACTACACCTTCCACACCACCCATCCATGCACAAACAGCAAGCATCATCGCCACAAAGGAGGTTGCGGAGCGACTCCCAAAACTCATCTGTTGGATCACGCAACTGTCGTCAGAATGCACACCAAAGCTCTGGGACACACTCTTAAGCAGCCACACTTCTGATCACCTGACGGCCCCAAAGCAAGAGACGCCACTCGTCAAAGCAAAGGGGCACGTAACATGCACCCTCCCCCTCCCCCTCCCCCCACCCTCCCCACCTGCCCTTCCCCCCTGTCAACTGTTTGTCTGTCCAACACACTAATTGAACAACCAATCCTGCTAATCAACGCTAAGTAGCTGCTCAATTTTGAAATGAATGCATGCCGATGCACAGATCTGAGGATATGGAGGTCAAAAGGGGCCAAGTTGGATGCCATTCCACTCTCAGAACCCGTTTCGTGTGCACGCTGATCGTCTGCGCCGGACTCCGTCCTGTGTATCTTATGTCAAAAACGTGCAGCTTTGGGTCCGACGAGCCTGTTGCAATGTACAACCCGTTCGGCGACCATGAAGGTCTGATCAGAGCTGACAGAGTGTCGCTACTCTGTTGCCAGCCAAACGAATGAAGCTCCCGCCTGTCGCTCCTAAAATCGAACAGCCTGAGCTGCCGCTCTTTTGTGCTGCATTCACATACCGACAGCAACACCGATACACAAGCAAACCAACCATCACAATGCAGGGTAAGAATCATAACAAGATCCGAGACGTCTGCAGCAGTCGTCAGAATTCAAAATGTCAGAAGTCAGAACCAGAACTAGAGCAGAGCCGGCAGCAACCAAGCCATACTCACCCTAGAACCGCCCATCGTCCCAGGGCACTTTCACACCAGGACTCCATAAGATGCCTTTGCCTGCCAATGTATGTCCACATGCAGCCCCAAAATTCCTTGTGTGACCATGGTTCCACTGGCACGGTCACAACCGGCTGTCATACAAGTGGCTAAACGAGACCCAGCTGACTTTTCTTCTTTCGACAGTGCACAGCCAAATTAAATTCACATCGCAATAACTCCGAATAAGAGCATTTTGATTCGGGCCTGGGCGGGAAGCAAAAGCGGCAGGTCGCTTTGAAAAGGTGCAGTTCTGGGCTCGCGAGCCTTGGAAGATAGCTTTGTCAGCTTAGGCTTGTGCGAACTGGTGGTTTTCAAACCGCCAGTACACCGCCCCAGCCTTGCTGAAAATGCAACTCGTCGCCTACGAAAGTTTCGGAGGCCCGGCCTACTGGACCACAATGGCTAGCGGTGCCATCCAAAAAGAAAAAAAGTGCGCCGCTGGCGGTTCAGAAAAGCTTGGCGCGCACTAAGGCGCTTCCAGGCCCGGCTGTACTGGTGGTTAAGTAAGAAAAAAATAGACAAACGGTTCTAGAACCATATGGAACCACAATTAAATGGAATAGCAGGTTGGTGAAGCAATCATGCATTGGCAGTTGGCAAAGCACTCGCGAAGCACTTGAGGTAAGCCGCAACCCAATGGCGCAGCTAATAACAGCGATGGCCACTTGCCTTCAGTGGAGTTCACCCAGAATAAACTAGCAAGTAGTACACGCCATTGTTACATGCTGAGCCTGCATACGGGCCCTGTTCCAGGGGCCCGACGGTTGCTGGGGACCCCCAGGCCACACGCTTTTTGGACACGTGCCCTGGAGGCCCACAGCCGGCCTTACGGCCGCAGGATTCAATTTGAGGCAGCATTCATTTATTTCTTTTTATTTATTTGCTGTCCTATTTTTCTCTCTTCTGGTGTCCGTTCGGACTTGCAGGTCGTCCAAACAGACTTTCAGTCTGTTCGGACAAAGGTAAAGTTTTTGGCCTTCTACGTTCGCAGGCAGGCCCTTGTGGGCCAGGTTCGTGTTCGTCCAGTAGCGAACGTCCCTGCTGCATCAGCCGGGAGGGTCTGGGCATCCGGTCTGGACCCAGACAGAGTAAGCCGTTTCAGCCCAGGACCAGGGGCACACCGGCGAGGCCCAGCGGACATTAGCTGGGCCAGGCCAGGGCAGACACAGTTGAGTAGCTCACTTCTTGGGCGACACGCTGCTGGAGAAGCACGACAGCACTACACTAGAGGTAGAGGTGTATGTAGGGAGTGAGACGGAGGCCATACCTGCGTCAGCGGAGATCTTACCTGGGCGCCATAGCTGGTCTTTGCACCAGCGCCCTGCAGCACAGAGGAGACACGCGGCGACAGTTTGTACGTGGCGACAGTTACCTGCAGGTGAGATACCGAGGAGGACAACATCTTCTTCTTCTTCTTCTTGCTCTTGCCCAGGCCAGGGCAGACACAGTTGAGTAGCTCACTTCTTGGGCGACACGCTGCTGGAGCAGCACGACAGCGCTACGCTAGAGGTAGAGGTGTAGGTAGGGAGTGAGACGGAGGCCATACCTG